TCTGCTTGATTCTATGTCTGGCTGTGCATTTTCTAGAGGGCGACCTACAACCTGTTTTGGAAAGCCTTGTTGTTTGGTTAGGCATCGTCTACTGCATCGTCTAACAGAATTTCCACGCTTTTTTGTCCAGGAAAAGCTGATGTCGTGGACCTTTGCACCCCGCCCAGAGTAGAGAGAATTGGAGCAACCAGAAGGGCCATGAACAAGGCAACAACTTTTCCGGAAAAGTTGCAGGCCCTAAAAACGACCTTGAGTGAAGGCTTGGGCCAGGCAGAGACTCAGGCGGGCATGCCTTCCGAAGCCAAGCCACAGCCCAAGTCAAAGTGCAAAGCGAAGGAAAAGGCAAAGCGCCGCAGAGTTCGTAGCCAAGAGCGACCGGAGACGAAGCAGGAGGTAGGTGAAGAAAAGGCAGGGCAGCCGGAGACAGAGCAGGCAGAAGAGCCGCAGCCGAAGGAGGGGGAAGAGGAACAGCCGCAGGAGGAGGAGGAGGACCAGGAGGAGGAGGAATGTGAGCAAGGCAAAAAAGGTCGGAAGAAAAGGACCAAGAAAAGGCATGTGAAGCGCAGGCGGACGTGCCGGAGGAAGGAACTTACCGAAGAAGATAGGAAGCTTAAAGTTGTGAAGTCTTACCTGGCACAGTGCGGTGTGACGTGGCAGTTCTCTCAAAGATTCCACAATGCACAGCCTGTCATGGCCGGTGACCGTGGGTGCAAGGCAAACGCTGGCTTCACCAAACTACAACAGAGATTGGTAAACCTGCAGCCTCCAGAGTGCCTCACATGCCTGGCAATGCTGGAACAGTGTGGTTTCAACAATGAGGAGTTGGAGAAAGAGATGAATGGCAGCTATGTTTGCGGGAGTGGAAATTCCCCATTGAAGAATTTTAAGTTTTCACTGGCCGCATACAGACAAAAGGCAGGCGCAGATTCAAATGCGCAGACTTTGGACCCCAAAGATGCTCAAATCGTGCCTGTGGAACCTGGGGCCACAGATCCGCATCAGGAGAATGAAGCCAAGGAATTGCATGAAGAAGCAGCCTGCCATGATTTCATTGCCAGCCTCCCTTTCCTTCAGCTCTTGCCACCCAGCTACTTTGGGAAAAAGCTTCCAGTGCGCTGTTTGCTGTGCACATCTGCATCCCATCCATCTGGATGCGTGTTTGAAGGAGGCCAGCTCCGCTTGAAGATGCTTACCTATTTGGTTGATCAGCACTGCAGAGGAGCTAATCACTGGGCTAATGTGAAGAAATGGCAGGACCAGAAAGACCCATCGTCCCAGACCAGTGCCCCTCCAGAGACTGAGCAGCAACCAAAGGTTCCATGCCAAGGAGTTTCATTGACCCATGGCAACATGCGGATCAGCGAGTATCGGGAGGAGTTTGTTCTGTGGGCTTCTCACTCCAAGCTTTCCTCGAACTTAGCTCAGAACCAGTATCAATGGAACTTGCGTGAGCAGGAGCTCATCTTGTTCCATCAGAACTGTGCAAAGATAGCAACTGGAGCAGTGCAGAGCAACCGAGCACTTTGCAAGGCTTGTCAACAGTCAGCCGCTCCCTTGGCTGCCATCAAGAATGCTGTCCGGTACGCTAAGAAGCATTGGCTGGCGATCATCCTGCACTCCAGGTTGTTTTGCTCCGACGCAAGCACCGCGCAGTTGCTCGATGGGCTCAAAGCCACTACGCTTTACAAATACCACAAGACAAGCATGGATGAGGCCTTGAAGAAGTCGAACGCAGACTTGCAAGCCTGGATTCGAACTGTCTATGCCAAAATGCCGAAGGAGAGATTTGACAAGTACTCTGGTTGTCTCTGCGTGTTCTCATCTATTAAATGCGCTCATCAGGGTTTGCTCCCCAGACATGAGACACTTATGACCCCAGGAGCCTTAAGCATGCATTTTATAGTCAAGGCTTCCCTCATCATCCCTCATATCATGGAATCAAGATGCTTTTTTCCTTTCTTTCCAGGAGCAAATCAATGAGACCTTGCAGAGTTTCCTGGCTGCCTATGTCTCTCCTATTTTGTCCATCAACGTTGCCGATACAAACGCTGAACTGCGTACAATGTCGCATCAGTTGACAGCGCACCTGGCTGGAGGCAACCTAAGCGAGATGGCTTCTTTGTCTGCGAAACTGGCCCGTGCTTTGTGTGAAGGACGGTTTCAGCAAAAGCCGGCAATGTTGGGTATGATGGCGCAGTGCTTGGATCTAGTTGGGCGCGAGGAGCGTGGAGTGCAGTCTTTGAAAAAGACACGCAAGATGGGTGATGTTGAGAAAAGGTTCGTCCAAGAAGCTGGTAGTCTTCTTGCCTTGAACGGCTGTGGAGAAGATGCCATGCGGGAACTTGGGTTCTCAAAGATCGCTGTTTGGCGGTCTGAAACCAGAGTGGACCAGCTCCTCTCTCAGGGGCTTCCATGCCCCGGGTTGGCGTTGCTTTGGCCTGATATCCTGAGCCAAAATGCAGCTTGCATAGATTCTTTGGCTGTACGAGCAGAACATCAGACACCGCGCAGGTTTGTTCTTTGCATGGATGCCACCTACCTCTTGAAACATCAAACACAAATGAGACTGCATGGTGAGCAGGCCATTGTTGGAGGACCATTCACTATGGCAGACCTCGCAGGGTCGGCTGAATCATGTGGGTCATTCCAGCGTCTCCAGCATGGCAAGATCAACCTGACAGAGAAGCAAAAGGCGAACAGAATGCCACTTGCTTAGAACCCATTGCTAGTCCCATCGCTCTATAAAATGCCTGACCAGCAAACAAGCAAATTAAAAGTTTATTTTGTGTATCAATATCTCAGTGGGCAGGCATTTTATAGAGCTTAATGATTTAATGTTAGTTTGACATAGTTTGACAATACAGGACATGTTTTTTAAGTTTATTTTGCGAGATGTTCTTGACAATGTTGGAGACTTTCTGGGTGCTTTTGTATTGCAAGCTCAAGTTAGGCTGGAGTTCGCTATGTGGGATCCTACTGACAAGCACACTCGTGCTTGGTCTGCAATGTCATTGCCCCTTCTGCTGAAAAAGCTCAACACTGAGAACACAGACAGCAGCTTTGCCACTTGCCTAGAATTAAGCCCGGTAATGGATCGGATCGTATTTTCAGGATCCAGTCTATAAAATGATGGACCCCAACACGCGACACATTGCCATCAAATCTTTGACACGGTATGTTTGAGAGAGGCATTTCGTAGGGCACGGTAGATATTGACTAAACACTGGCGAACTCTGGCAGGAAATCTTCCGCATGGTTGATGCCTTCATGAATGAAGAGCCAGGTAAGCTGGTACGCATCATCATTCTAGACGGTGAAGCGTGCAATGGGTTCATTCGCAAAGCAATTCATGGCACGCTGGGAAGGAGTGAGCGCAGAAGAATTCAACAGCTGTCATGGTTCAGTCGCGTTCAGCATGAGGAGTTGCCAGGTGTGGACTCCTGGCTCAGGTTCCCTATGTTCAGTTGCAAGGTTGATTCAGAGTATATCTTCGCCTTGAGTGGGCCAGCTCATGCTCAGAAAAATGCTCTGGCGCAATGCCTGTCGCCAATCAGAACTGTCTTCTGTGGGAACCTTTGGTGTGACATGGCCGGAACCCTGGAGTGCAGCATACCGTTACCTGCATTCATGCAGCTTGACCCCATGTCAGACCGCTTGGCTGCCTTGGCATGCTGTCCTCTCTTCATGGTCGACCCTAAAGCCGACAAGATCGTTATCCCTTGGCATTCCCGTGGCCTTCTTGTTTGGAGCAGTTCATGCGCAATGTGCTTGGCTTCTTGGATTATGATTTATCTTTGATATTCTTTGAATTTCTTTGATGTTTTTGAGCTCTTTTGAGCTCTGTCTCTTGTTCTTGCTACACCTTGCTACTATTTGCTACTATAAAATGCTTTGACAGAGATGTGGATGACTGAAAAGAGCGGTGCTGCTTTGTAGAACCCCTTCAATTGCATTTTATAGACATGATATGAAATGAAATAGCTACAGATAGCTACAGTATTCTCTTTAAAATACTTAGTACATCTTAGTACTTTCTTGTGATATGTTTTGCGCCCTCTTCCAAATGGTCATGATTGGGCAGGCACCAGCCCTTCACGGTGCGCTCACTCTGGCCGAGCGCTGCGAAATCTCGCTCTGCGGTTTTCTGCTCCAGGACCTATGGAGCATACTCTCATCACGCCGAGAAAGCAAGTGTGGCCTGAAGAAAGGAAGCTGTCAAATGGCTCCTCAGACGCGAGTGGCGTTGCAGAACGTCAGTCTCACTATCGCTGCCATGACCAAAACCAAGCCTGACACATGGACACCCTTTGGCTGTCCGCACAGCTTGAGCGAGGTGCACATAGAGCGTCTCTTTGGGCAATATCGAAGTTATTCTTCTTCGGGGGACTTGAATGCACGGTCATTTTGGTCATCAGCAGCGGCACAGGCTCGACAGCAGCTGTTCAAAATGAAGACCCGAAAACGGGACAGGAATGATATTGAGAAGATTCCTGCATTGGATGATCAGCAGCCGCTCGCCTGTTAGTTTGCAATCAAACATTTGCAATATTTTGCAATACTTCTTAGATCTTGTTAGATCTGTTCAATCCCATGCGACGGGTTTCAATTTTTTGTGTATTGTTTGGAACATTTTGGAACTATTTTGGATATTTTTGGATTATGGTTCAATTGCAGAGGTTTCGGGCATGCGCAGCCAATGTATGGGCCTCTGCGCTTCAGTTGGCGTCCAAATGCGCTGGGGTTCCCAAAGCCAATCTGGAGTCATTCTACCGCATGGAGAGCATGGACTTGGAGAGCGCAGAAGCAGTGATTTGGGACGACATGGATGAGTTGATTGAGGGGGCCGAGGAAGAAGAGAACCAGGCTGCTGAAGAGAAGGCAAACCAGAGCACCTTGCATTGCATTCTTGATCAAGTCCGTGATTTGGCTGTTGAGGAGCAAGTTCCTGCAGAGTCAGAAGAGGATTTCCTCAACAACGCGGAAGCCAGTGATCCGGACGCCAAGATGCCAGATGGCCAGCAGCTCATAGATTTGATGTCAGGCACAAGCTCGGATGACGCAGAGAAGGCTGACCACTTCCTGAAAGAAGGCAACTTTCCAAGAACACTGAGGGAGGTTTTGCCATTTGGCAGATGTTTAGCGCAATTTTCAAGCAGACAGGGGCAGTAGGGGGATGTAGGGGGGCATTTTATAGCAAACTCATTTGGGATTTCTCTGTGGTGTCAGTGTGTGGGTGTTTGGGCATGGCATTTTATAGATCATCCATCATCATCCATCAAGGGTCAATGTTTTTAATCTACTGTATTTTAATTTAGAGAAACAAGTAGCAAGGGTATGCAAGGGTTGCATTTTGTAGAAACCTCATTTGGTATCATTTGGTTCTATTTGGTTTTATGTGGTGTCAGTGTGCTTGGATGTTTGGGCATTGCATTTTATAGACCATCCATCAAATGTCATCAAATGTCAATGTGTTCAGTTTAAAGAAGTATATAAACAAGGGTGGCATCTCATAGTAAATGTATGTGGCTTCTATGTAGTAACATTTTTCTGGATGTTTGGGCATGGCATTTTCTAGATGATAGATCGAGGTCACGTGATGGAGATCTCTTCAGCAATTTGTGGATGTTCGCAAACTTCTTGCGGGGAGGGAAAGCAGGCATGGGCACCATGCACATGCGTGGAGCAGAGGAAGTCAGAGCACGCTGCAGGTCTTTGAATTGGCAGCAGATTCTTGACAAGTATTGGTCAGGTGTTTTTTTTAAATAGTGGTACGGAACGAGATATCATGTGCTTCCCTTTGGAGAGCTTCACCACAGGAGTGCTGAGAACGAGCTCAAGCAAATGCGCATCCTTGAGGATGAGTTGATGCAGGGGGCAAAAGGATCGCGCCTATCCAAGTGGATAGCTTCCTCAAAGAATCAGGACTTTGATCCAGCAGGCTTTAAGGAGCCAGAGAAGCTTCAGCTTTTTGGATTTATAGTTTAACTTTCACATACTTTCACCTCTTTTGATTTCTTTTGATCTCTTTTGATGGTTTGTATACGTGAGTTTGTTGGCATACGGGGGGAGAGCCTATGAAGTGGCGCTTCCTGGCTTTAATTCTTTAACCCTGTGCCAGGGTTTTTTGTCAAACATTCGACTCTGCATTTTATAGTGGCTGAAATGTATCTGATGAAGTCTGTAAAACACCACAGGATGCCACTGTTTTTCTGTAAAAAGCATAGACCAGGCTTAGATTTGCTCCAAACACACCAATAAGTCCTTGGCAGCGCCATTTCATAGTGATTCCATGTGACTACCAAAAAGAGCCAACCAGGTCAGGCATGATCGTGGCCCTGGTCACAGCGAGTGGCAAACCTGCTGACACTTACTTTGTCTTGACAGTGTGGCCACGGGCAAAAAAGCCTCGCCCAAGCGCTGCCGCTGTGCCCTTGGTTTTGGTGAAGACCTTTAGGGCCTGCCTTTTGCGCCAGAGGGATGATGCAGCTGCGTCCTTTGAGCCGACAGACTGTTGCGGCCATTTCCATCCTGACACCGTGTTCGCCATCTTGGACTGCAGTGAAGTGAATCATTCTGAAGGCCGAGTGGTGATTTCAGAGGAATCCTTGTTGGCTTTGGAGAGGCTCAAGCGGACTCAGCATCATGTTCCGGAAGCTTCTTCAGGGAAGTCTCGGAAGAGGAAGCGAGAGAAGAGCAACAAGGAAGAGAACCCTGAGAAGAGTGACAAGACTGCTGGAGCAAATTTGAAGAAGGGAGTCAAAGCGGCGCAAAAGATGGCTGAGAAGGCAAAGGCTTTGCAGAAGCACCCCATCAAATTGGTAGCCTCAGATATCAGAAAGTCGCACACTGGGCGCAAATGCATCCGCAACTTTGTTGAGCAGATCATGCAAAGGGAGGCGGTGATTTGCGCTGGCCATGCGACCTTCGATAGTGATGGGTTTTGCACTTTGAAGGAAATGCACTCGCTGTCAGACAAAGCTTTTCTGTCATCGATCGCTACCTTTTTTGAGCGTAGGTATTTTATGGCAAAGCCAGCTGTTTACAGTGACAAAGTGTTTAGCGACCTCATGGGCATTTGGAAGGATCTGAATTCAGACCCTCCATTGCGCAAGAAATGGCATGCCCTGCTGCACGATTTCCAGAAGAGCGGAGGCGCTGAAACTCTTCAGTGCTAGCGTGCGCTAGCTTTCGCTAGCTGAGGTCTTTGGGATTCTTTGGGAAGATTCAGGGAGACCAATGGCAGAACCAGCCACAGGTCTTGAAAACCTTGAATCCGTTTCTTTTCAGAAAATATGCGCTGTGGGTTGGACGCGAAAGCGTTTGGGGATGACCCACCAGAAGTATCCAGCAGTATCGCTCAAAGTTTCTGCAAAAAAAAGAATTGAGCTGCGGAGGGGTCTGTGGAGTTTCTTTATTTTGTTGAATTCTGCGTTTCTCTTGTCCTTTCTTGTCCTTTCACCATTCATTTGTTGATCAATGCTTGATCACTGCAATCTGCACTTTATAGATAGCAGTCCGTTTTTTAACTAAGGTCATACACACGCCCTGACATATGCATTTTATAGTGTCAGGTGTCTTTCTGCTTGAGTAGTCTTGGTTGGCATTTTATAGAACTCCTCCTGACAGTTTTTTGCAGCCTGTGTCACCCATGCCTGGATGTTGATCCAGGCATTTTATACACATGTCTAGCCTGGCATTCTATAGTAATTTTATGTCTGGGTAGGCATTTTATAGACACCATTTCTCTATGAATTGCCCGGATAGACACCCTACCCCACAATGACCGGGGATTATCAGCTAATGAATCATAATCATTGGCCTCAGAAGGAATTCAAACCCTTATTGAATAGGTTCCCAATATAAAAAATTTAGGGCCCCCAAAAAAGTTAGCATTATTCAGGAACCATTTTTCAAACATGGGGTCTGGAATAATTTTGGAAAAATTTAGCATTATAGAGGGCCCATTTACTAATCAGCATCCAACATTAAGCAATGGAACCGAAAGGGAGTGACACTAATGGTGCAATGATTGCCACCACATTCTTTTCCACAAACGTAATTAGCCGCTTGAGCAGTTGTGATTCAGATCAAGACCTATTCGCAGGTGGCAGCTCTCCGTTCAGTAGTATGTGTGTGTTTACTCATTCACCTGCAGGTGGCATTTGTTCAAAACGATGCACATGGGGATCACCGATCATCTCATGGGGTCTGAAGTGTTTGCAAAGTTCTGGAACAGAACCCATTCTTGCTAGTAGACGTAGACTTGACCATGTACACATTAGATCATAGTAGCACAGTCAGTGCATCCCGCCAAAAACAACCTTTTAGGATAATGTTGAGCCATAAAAAGTCCATGACGACAGGAGATATACAACATCATGCAATACTCAACTTAAACACATAAGACATCAAGACATCGCAAGATTGTTTTTAGATGCGTTTGGCTTGTCTCTGCCACTTTTGAGGTCATAGCCCCGCATACCTGGACGGCCTCAATCAGCCATGGCCAAAAGCATTCGCCAACTACGCTGTCCTTGCCCCGCTGGTGTGATTAATGTGTTTCAAGAGAACAAGCAAATTGCGTCGAATTGCTTGAAAGCGGTTGGAAGTAAAAATGAGTCTCGCACAGTCTTGCATGTCTTGCTTTGCTGCCAGGAGAGCCTATTTGGACAAGACAACAAAGCGAACCTCTCAGCGCATCTCGAGCTGCGAATCGACCTTGGGAACCTTGGGACATGTTCTTTGCCGAAACCAAGGTTGGTATTCCATGCTTGCCAGATATGTGCAACCTGCGGCAGAGAATAGTCGAGAATGCACGGCGCCAAGAAATGAGCTGAAAAGATGCAACCTTCAAAGCTGAATGCATATTGAATCCTCGCAACAAAGCAAGAAACAGCCAAAGGAGGTCTCTCACTTGGAACCGGATAAAAGGATGTTATAACCTGGCGCTAGAATGTTCACCCTAGTAAAAGAAATGTGGTGTCTCCTTAATAATCCTGAGTGTTTGAATGACCATGATTGGTCGATACTTTGAGGAATGGCTCTTGATTGGTGTATGTATTTTTCTTGTGCTGAGCAACTGCATCGGTCGCACGTCCGACCTGTTTGAACATGCAGAGATTCTTGAGCTTCCAACTTTCATTCGCTTTAGTATGCACTGAAAAAGGTCAGGGTGCCTTTGTGTGAACAAGACCCTTTGAATCCCTTTGACCTCAAAGGGAAGTGCCAGACCGTGACCAGACAGTATTGCATTCATTTCGCGCTCAGCGCAGCCAACACGGACAGCGAATATTTGCCGTGCAATTGTGCCTGCAAAGAGTGTGTTGGGTCAATATCGTTTGCAAGTCAGCCAAAGCGACTGGAGGATTGTCCCCTTTAAGAATATGTTTAAATATAACTAAATTAATATATAATTATATAACTATACTATAGGCCTTTGCAGAGTCATGCAGGAACAGAAAGCGCTAACATGAAGAGCACACCACCCACTGGCAGTAACGTCCGCAGCCCTCGTCAGAGGTGAAGCCATTCTCGTGACAGGCGCATGCAGTTCCTGTGCACGGCCCTGCTGCAGTCAAAGTTCCAATTCACTTGCTGTATCTTGCTGTGGCTTGATATCCAGTGGGCTTTGTGCCCGAATGTTCACCCTCTTGCCTGCAAGCATCATCATTTTCTGCAGAACCTACAGCGCCATTTTTGGCAGCTTTGTGACAAGATGGGATTGTCCACCGGTCGCGGTACTTGTTCATGAGTATGCTTTAGTTGCCTAGTTTGCCATGCAACCTTTGTTTGCGGTCACCTCAATCCCAAATGGTTGCTCCAGCAGCCATTTGTTCGTTGAATAAGCGCTGCAGCCTATGAAAATGAGTCAAATGAGTAATTGCATGCTGCATGGATGTGTTGTCCAACCTCATAGCTTCAATGGGCAATGGAAATGGATGCGTTGGATTATCCGCAATTCTTTTTGAACCCTTGTTGATACTCGTAAATGCTAACAACGAGACATAATGAGAATGTTTTTGGCAACGGAACTTGCATCTTGGTTCAGCACTTGAACGGACACGCGTTGGACGGCTAGCTCTTCGTTCGTGCATCCATGGCTGAACTGGTATCAACCCAAGCTTGCCAGGTTGGTGTTTCGAAACGTGGATCAGAAGAAGAAAGGCCAC